GCAGGAAGCCCTACAACATTGTTTTATAGCAGTTTTTCAAAGGAACACAGCATTTTGATCAATTGCTAAAATAAGGACAGACCTAAAACAAGCCAAATAAGAGTGCTGCTGCCCCTTGAAATTCTAGAGGCTCCTCTAGCCCAAACCCAGGCAAACACTAACTAGACCGGTGCAGGTCTGGCTCCATTTCTCCTCATCTTTAGGGGAATCCAGCTGAAGCTGTCAAGCAAAGAGTAAAAGCTGAGGGACAGGATTACCTTCTGTCCTCGCAGAGAGCAAGTACAGTGGGAACAGGAACACCAGCCTCAGAGAGTGCCTTCAGTACCCTGCCAGGGCGAGTCAGAGAGCCATGTCAGCACAGAAAGGCATTAGGGAATCGATACTAGAACTGCAGTGTTGCTAGGCAGACACACAGTATTCAAAAGAGCCCTGTGTTCAGTTTTAAACACACTAAAATAGCACGGCTGGGGGTAGGGGAAAAAAGCACACCAAAATCTTTGTATGGCCCAGAGCCCCGAGACCAACACGCTGCAGGGTGGTAGCACAGCTTGGCTCTCAACCCAGGACGGCTCGGGCTGGCTGTAGCAGACGGAGAGATCCCAGGCTGGGATAGAGAGCTGTGCAAAACACAGGGCAGGACACTGTGGGAGGCTGGAATAGAGCACTGTCCTTAGGACAGGTCGTTCGGGATCTTCTGTGAGAGTCACAGAATCCCAGACTGGTTTGGGTGGGAAGGGACCTTAAAGCCCACCCAGTCCCCCCCCCTGCCATGGGCAGGGACACCTTCCACTAGGCCAGGTTGCTCCAAGCCTCATCCAGCCTGGTCTTGGACACTCCCAGGGATGGGGCATCCACAGCTTCTCTGGGCAACCTGTCCCAGTGCTTCACCACCCTCTCCAGGAAGAATTTCTTCCTGATGTCCAATCTCAACCTCCCTCTATCAGTTTAAACCCGTTCCCCCTTGTCCTGTCACTACAGACCCTTGTAAAAAGTCCCCCCCAACTTTCTTGTAGCCCACCCAGGTCCTGGAAGGTGCTGTAAGGTCTCCCCAAAGCCTTCCCCTTCCCCAGGCTGAACAAGCCCAACTCTCCCAGCCTGTCCCCATGGCAGAGGGGCTCCAGCCCTCGGAGCATCTTCGTGGCTTCCTCTGGACTCGCTCCAAAAGGTCCATGTCCTTATGTTGGGGGCCCCAGAGCTGAGTGCAGAACTGCAGCTCCTTTTCACCTGTATTCCCTTCTGACAGCAGGGCCTGAGGGATGCAGGCTGTCCAAGGACTCCTTCTTCAGCACTAGCAAGCGATCCCCAAACTTGACGTAGTAGCTCCGGCTAGACTGTCCGTGGCCAAACTGCCGTAACACTAGTGGGCCTGAAGAGTGAGAGCAGAGGGTCAGCAGACAGAAACATGAGCTGGGATTATTTCTCACCACTTCTCCAGACTTTACTTCCCCTTCCCGTGCCGGGGTCCAAGATCTCCCTCACAGCAATCAGGAACCTCCACTTTGCTCCTGTGTCCCAAATCCCTGGGGAGCATGGCAATTGCTCACAGATGGCTCACAGGCCAGGAATATTCCTGGTGTCTCATTGGCAACTTGTACTCAACCCCTCCCAAATGAGGAAGTCTAACACGTTGTTTCCCATTTCTGGGAAACAGTGACGGATCACTGAAACCTGAAGGGCTGCAACATTTGCTTGGAGATTAGGAGCTTTTCATTAATATTATTTTTCAAACCATCCGTTGTATGATGGAAAGAGCCAATGGCTCCAGAATATATGAGCTTTCAGGGTGAAGAGCACTGTGATACCTGTTGCCTGGTCTCTGAGGACATTTTCAAGGTACTTCTGCAGACGATCTTTTGGGATTTCTATGCTTGGCCTCACTGAACGAGTATATGGAACAAACCCTTGCAAAGGAAAACCCAGATAGGTTTCCAGCTCTTTGAGTGCTACTTCTGGATCATCGACCTGAAAGCAGGAGGGAGGGAAAAACACTGAGTGACAGATAGAAGATAAAAATGCCTGGGAAAGAAAGAGCTCTGCACAGTTGTGATACGTTTATCCACGAGTCCAGCAGCACCCATCCACTAAGGCACAGAGGAATCACTGCTCAGTCCCTGCCAGCACAGAGTGCCATTACCAATACCTGCTGGGCCTCCTGCCTTGGTCTCTGTCCCAGGGATATACCTGCTACTGAGACAGAGGCGCTGTGACCTTGGGCTGGAATTCTCTATGTGCAATCCAGAGGAGAGTTCCCCCTTTCCGCCAGGCCCATGCTTATCCTAACCCCTCACCAAAGTAAACCCCCTGTGCTCACTATCTCCAAAGCCTGGGGGTTAACCATCAGTCCCCAGGTGACAGACCCATGAAAGTTACTAAACTTGTCTTATTTTCTCACATCTGATGGATGTGGTTGTCTCAGCCATACAGTGAGGGCTGTTTCTCTAATAGGGAGCTGAGGTCCATAAAGGAGAAGGAACCTCTCTGAGGTTACTCTGGCTGTAGGGTTTAGAGTGAATGAAACAAACCAGTGCAGAATTTGCCAGTAATCCACCCCTTTAAACCCAACATATCCTGTAGGTATATGGACAGGCTGAAACAAAAAGTTTGGCAACTCGTGTCTGTCCCTGCGATTGAAAACCCTGAGCCATTCAAGTCAAACAGAGCTCCTGGGCCTAGAAACCATACCCAAAGCCTGCCCTGGCTGCATTGCTTTGTACCTTCACCGTTTTAATGCCGAGCAGGGCTGCTGCTTTTAGGCTCCGGCTGCTGTTGTCGAGGAAGATGGATTCCCGGGGCTGAACGCCCAAGCGCTCCAAGCACAGCTCGTAGATACGAGGATCTGGCTTGCGTATTCCTTCCCAGTAAGAGTCAACCATCTACGGCAATAACAAAGGGATTATGCGTGAGCCTACTGTGACCACAAACATCTGTGCAGTGTTGGAAATGGAGGATGGGAGGGTGGGAAGGAGACTGACAGTCTAAGTACCATGTGAAATAAAGGACATGGGGAATGGAGGGCTGACAGAGCTGGGTAGGACGTGATTCAAGTGACTGCGTGGGTGCCAATTGCTTGGGTCTGGCTCTGTCATCTCAAATAAGCTGAACAGGATAAGCCAGTCCTGGATGGAAGATATCCAAAGAGATGTCACTGGATGTCCCAGACCGTGCTGAACCAACTACTCAATGCTCTCCAAGAAAACCTTGGATTGCACCGCCTTCCAAATGATCTGGAAAAGTGGTATCCTGACCATTGCACCCACCAACCACGCCAAAGCACTCTTCAGAGCAGCAGTGATGTTGACCGTAACCAGCTGACCACATTTGGATCAAAAAAAATCTTAAGTCAGTCTCTGAATACTCACATTGCCCTCCAAACCAGAAAAAATCCAAGCAATATTTCATGCCTGCACTGACAGACACTCTAGGAATAGAAATTAATCTATTAGGTAGACATAAAATCCAACCTTACTGTAAATCTACATTCAATTAATTTTTTTTTCACTAATTACTCCGCAGTGCTGTTGCCTGCTGTTGCAGAGGAGCCACACGGCATGAGTGATGACACCAGATAGGCCATGGTTATTGAAGTGCTTTGAAACAGTCTGGGATGAAAGGTACCACAGAGCACCACAACAGAGCATTGCTCCACGGAGCACATGGCTTCACAGGCACTGGTGTCACTAGTAAAATGCACAGAAAGCCGAGTCGACAACAACAGAGTGTTGACAAGATGACTTTAAACAGTCCCAAGTTTCAAACGTATTGATACGACTCTTCTGTGCACATTCTGTTGTGTTAGTCAAGGCTATAAAATGAACTTACATTATGAATAAACACCTGAAATTCAAAGATGTGTTAGGACACACAACAAAGCAAATTTTCTGTCATGCTGCGGCAAGTCTGCACAGCTGCCTGTTAAAGTGAAGCCACTTGAACCAGACTCGAGGTTCATGGCTAATCTGCTTCATCTTTGCAAAAGCAAAGCGTGCTCAGAGAGCGTCCTCTGCTCAGACAGATTGGCACGCTGGGGTAGTGAGATTTCTGTAGTATAGGGGATGCCTTGCAATTCTTCGGGATGAAACAAGCTTTACAAGAGTAAGGACTACATACAAAGCAGGCAAGGACACTGGCTAATGACATTTATTTCTTGTATAACATTCCAGGTTCTAAGCCCTCTATCAGCATCGCTAGCTATGCCTGTCACGCATATACCTGTGGTTGTGTGGGCATTTTGCAATGAATTTTCAAATGCACAAGTACCTGCCACTCACTCAGACCCTGTTCTAAACCCAGTCCCTGCAACGGATTGTGCCAGGAAACACAGACTGTTATATTTATGCCTCCTAATGCTTCTGTTTATTTTGTACCTGCACAGAAAGAATTTTAGTTGCTGCTTTCCTTAGACCTAGGTACAGAAATGTATTTTGGAATCCATCCAGGCTTACCACATCGAAGTGCTCGCGGTCTAGGGGCAGAAAGCTCTCTCCATTCGGCAGGCAGACGTTGTTGCTTAGAAGAGCTGTCTTAAGACCTTCCGCACGGATACACTGTACTGCTTCTGCCATTATGGGGAGCTGTTTTATCATCTCATTTCTGATTAAGTCCAAGAGAAAAGAGTCTACTGGAACACAGACATTTGCCTAAGAAACCAGAGAAACCCCAAGAATGATAATTAGCAATAAATGGTCTTTAAGCGGGGAGGAAAGTAAGAGTGGTTGGGTAGGTAGGTTGCCTGATCATCTTATCTTGCTGTCCTACTTCCTTTGGCAGCAGAAGGCAGGCAGTGAATCTCCCAGCTAAATTGCTTAGACCAAATAAACAAGCGTTCTCACATTACTAATTCTACAGAAGCAGCAGCAGAGATAAAGGGCTTATTTTGGGAAAGAGAAATGCACTAGGTCTGTGCCTGCCGTGGAATCAAGGCAGGTTAGAGATAAATACTGCGGTACCATTCAGCAGGCAGGAAACGAATCTGCATTTTAGGCTGAGCTGTTTCACAAAGACTTTATTCAAAAGAGGATTCTTGCACTGTGTTCCTGGAGCTATGGTGGAGGGGCTTCTACCGATCTTAAGAACCCTCCCTGGAGACCATGGCCTCCATCCTTTGAGCGTGCCCATGTACGAGCTAGCAGCAAAAGCCTCTCAGCTGTTCCCTGACTTCTCATCTCAGCTGATCCTAGAGGTGTCTTGGAATAAAAAAGTTGTGAAATATGGAGGAAGAGACTCATGGAAGCAAAGGCAAACTCAGCTGACCATCTGCCTGGATGCCAGAATGATGCCCGGATTAGACAGCAATGCTTCCTAGATGGTAAATCCAAACCCTTCCAACCAAAGGATTTCTTTTAAAAGCTCCTCTTTCCTCACTGAAACACCACATTTCTGGGTCCTGTTTCCCTGCAGTCCAGAAGCACAAAGAGAGGAGGGAGGAGTTGGCTTACAATCTCAAAGCACTGCTGTCCCAGTTCCTGCAAAAACTCCACAGTTGTCAGCTCTCCTCTTGCGTACTTCAGAGAGGGGCTGTTTTCCCCTCCAGAGAGTAGAGCTTGCTGGATGGTGCTGGCTGGAATACAATTCCGGGCCTCCCAGTCTACATAGAGAAAAGTAAGAAAGCTGGGAGAGAGCATGTATGGAATCATCAGAACGGGGAAATTAGCTTGAAAACCCTCTGAAGTCTGATGCATCGACCAGCACCTGTGAGAATTGATGTGCTGGACTGGGGTGGTTTACCCAGACACGGAGAGGAGTTTGGCCATTCCCCCAGCTGAAGCACCTCACCTCTGTTTTTGGTGTGGTACCCTTGGGGTGAAAATACAGAGTTTGTAAAGTGTCCTGAAGGACTGTACCAACACTGGGTGCTGTCAGCCGATGTCATTACAGGACAGTTTCATTACCAGGTGGGTTTAGGCCCTGATCTGGAACTGTCAGCAGGGTTGCCGTCAGTTCTAATACTGCTGGTGGCACAACAGGGTACCATCATCATCATCACAAGTTCTTGAAGACCTGACCAGAACCAGAGGCAACTGACAGGGACACCTGGAATTTATTTTCTCTCCACGCACAGAAACAACAGGAGCAAATGGGAATTGAGAATACACACCCGCAGCTGTCTTGTAAGGGGACGGCAGGAGCACTCCGCTCTCGTCAAAGATCACAGCTTTGTAAGGGCACCGACCGGATCGCCTCCGCTGAATTAACCGCTGCGGGTGCTGCCGGATCCCAGCACGGAGCAGGAAAGGGGTGCGGACAACACTCCGCAGGTACATGCTGCACCGAGGGGGTTAGGAAAATTCACAACTGGCCTGCGCCGACCGAGGAAGGAGGCTAGAGCGCGGAGGGTAGAATTACAAGGGCAAACATTTATTCAGCAGGTGAAGTGTCCCAGCCAAACTGGGGCACCTGAATGTGGTTTTACACAGGGTCCTTATACCCTTCAAAGGTCCAGGTGCAACACGAGTTGACTAATCACTCACGCTCTGATTACTAATCATAGGAAACGTTTGCAAAGCAACCGTATTTTTGCAATGTGCTTGTTACTTGTTTATTGACCCGGATGTCCATGGAGTCAGTTACTATGACACCGGACGATGCTGGGAGGGTTTCAGTGAGTGTTAGAGCGGCTACAGGACGGTGATGTTACCTCGATTACCCAGGGGTATCCTTTATGGATAGCTCATGGACAGCTCCACGTCATGAAAGCAGAATCCCGATTTCCGGGCCTGGGCTGTTCTGCAGTTCGTTCTACCTACAGCACGACCCATACCGGAGCCTGGCGCTGCCCAGAGCTGCACGACACCAACGTGGTGCGTGTGAGGGGAAAGGAAGAAGGGGGAGGGCGTTAATTTTTATTTTTATTGGGGATGCTTTGGCCTAAGAGGACGGGGCGTGGTCTCTCCACCCGGACAATGTTGCCACGGTACCAGGGTCCCCCACCTTCCACCCCCCGTGTCCCATTCCTCCTCTCAGCCCAGGAGGGGAGCGGTGGAGGGGGCATTCGTCCCTTCCGGCCCCTCCCCCCGGGCCCTGGTCCCCCTACGCCTGCTCCAGGCCAGGCTTCACCGCGCCCTTTGACCC